TATTGTTGGTATTTGGAACTTTCACCATCCTAATACATATGTAGCGGTAACTAACTTTTGTTTTAACTTGCATTTCCTTAGTGACAGGTGATGTTTAACATCATCATATGTGATTATTTGTCATCTCTGTTTTGTCTGGAATGGTTTTTGTCTCAGTATTTTATGCATTCATTAATGTTATTGTGTTCTTATGATGCGCTAGCACAGCAGGTAGTGCATTTGCCATACATGTGGCCAACCTGGCCGAACCAAGTACAATTCCTCTGTCCCTCTCAGAGAGTCCAGCAAGCTAGCAAATTTATCTCACCCGATTTGATATGCCAAACACAGTAACAACAAGTCTCACAATGGAGATGTTACTGGGCCCGCTCGAGCAAATTGATGAACAATGTGAGGACAGTGCTACGGTGTTCTTATGATAAACTTTGCTTCTTGTACATTTTGGATAAGTGTTTTATCAGATATGTCTTTTGCTTCTGTTTTTCTCCCAGTGTGGACCTGCTTTTTCAATCTCTTGCTTGTCACTGTGTTTAGCAGAAAATACATTTTAAATTGCATATCTATTTTTGTTCCCAAGAACATATTGATTTAAAAGACTATTAACTAAATGTTTTCCTGTTTCCTTAGAGTTGTCCATGAGAAGGCTGAAGCAATAGGATAGCAGGTAGGGCATTTGCTAGCAAGCAGCCAATCCGAGTTTGATTCTTGGCATCCCATGTGGTTCCTCCACCATCAACAGAAGTGATTTCTAAGTCAGCCAAGAGTAAGTCCTGAGCACCGCTGAGTGTGGCCAAACACACACACACACACACACACACACACACACACACACACAATTGTTCATGTATCCCTTATATTGGGATAAAGAAATTGGAGCTCTCACAATAGGAACCTGTCACCTTCAGAACTACGAGAGCACAGGTTAACAGATCTGCTGTTCCTGCTGTCACTTCAAACTGTGCCTCCCCCCCGCGTCTTCTTCAGTCAAAAAGGAATTCTGGAGTGTGAACCGAGACAGAAATCAGCAAGATAATGAGGTCATTTTGGTAAGGGTGGGAAGGATTTATGCTAAAGATTGTTTTCTACTCCTTAAGCACACACCTCTCAACACTGAGCCAAGAGCAGGAGTCACCAAAAAGCTGTTCATAAAGTTTCAGTGGGGTGCCTGGAGGAAGCTAAAGCCACAGTTTCATTTCTAGCTTTGAAACCTGTCTATTCAGCCATCTGACCAGTCTGTTTATTTCAACGCTGCTTTGAAAGAAAAAAATGGAAACACAGCTTGAGGTATATTGCAAGGATATGTCTGTGGATGAAGTAAGCTCCTGGGAAGTAACCAGATTTGGGGTATCTTGCCTTTTTCTTCTTAGAAGGAGCATACCCCAGCAGGAGGAGGCTGGAGGAGGAGTATTTATGTGGATAAGATCTTACTGGTGCTGGATGTTCCACATCGAAGGCTGTACAGTTGTGGAGACTGCAGGGAGAGCGTGGAGACGGATACCAGGATACCAGGGACATTGGTGGCAGAAAATACACACTGGTGGAGGGCTAAGTGTTTGATCATTGTCTGACTGAAACTCAAACATGAAAGTTTCATAACTGTAGCTCACGGTGATTCGATTAAAAGTAAATAAATAAAACAGAAAAAAAGTCAGTTCTGTAGACCAGTTCTCATACTCTGTTGTCTTTGGCAATTACAAAAGTAACAATTACTTTCTTCTCTAATTAGTGTCACTTGTAATTACCTTATCATGTACTGCCATACCCTTAATATTTAAAAGTTAAGGTGCAAAACATGAGGCTTAAAGACCTAAAATCAAATTCAGACTGCTTTTTGCTTCTTCTGTAAACTCTCCAGATTCTCAAGGAAAATATCTTTCACAGGATGAAAATAAGACAAAAATATATAAAATTATTTTTAAGGATGCAAATCAAGTGGATCAAGCATAACACCTAGTAATGACAGGTTTCTTTAAATAAAGGTTACTATTATCTTTATTTCTTCAGCTTTATTTATTATTACCCCTATTATTACAATTACTGAGATGATAGGAGCATTCAAAGAATTGATAACACCGATAATAACAGTAAATTTGAAATTTGAGGAGAGAGGAACACTGAAAAATAAACAATTCAACATAAACAGAATTCCTCAAAACAAGTAACCTTTGGTGATAACTTAGGTACACTAGTTTAGGATCTACTGTCCAGGTGAGAAGAAGGTGCTGTGGTTTGGCCAACATCTGTGCTGCATCTAAGAAAAGCAGGAGGACCAGAAAAGCACTTTAGAAAGAAAGGCCTAAAGAAGCTGAACAATTTGCCTCAGGACAGCTTGATCAGTCCTCGCCCACTCCTCCTTCATACTCTCCATTATTAACTTGTTGGCTGTTTCTGTCATAGAATAGATGTGAGTGATGTTAAATTTTATCTTTCAATTTTGAGAAGAATACATAATTACAGCATCAGCCCTGTTTATTCAACTTTTCCTGCCTCCTCTTGGGAGAGCACTTGGCAACAGCTACGTGCAGTCAGCCAGCGGGTTCAGTACGACCTGACACCACACTGAATTACCAGACAAAAATTTGATTTAATGATAGTCTAGTTGATTTGTGGTCTCTGTTCCCTTCCTGCCTTTGACCATATTTCTTTTCACCCATTATGTGTTTCTTGCAAAATGTGTGGAAAATATAAACAAATCACTGCTTTTGAAGCATTTTACTTTTTATCCCACGTAGAAGCTCATATAATGGTTTTCCAGAGAAAAATCAATTAAACTGTTGAGTTAGATACTATTTGGGGATTAAGTATAATTACCGTTACCTTTGCAAACTTGGCTGTACATGACCACTCTCAGGGGAAAAAACTAATGATGAATAAAATAGTTCTTCCATCCTCAAGTTTATTTTCTGGTTTAGGAACTTCCTTCAAACATTGGGTCTGGCTCTTAAGACCCAAGAACAAGCATCCCATTTGGTTTTGCCCTGGCTCAAATCATTGTCTTGGCTACACAAGGCTTATCATATACATTTCTTTCTTTCTCCACTGCAAAGCTAGCATGTATTTTCTGTAATTGGTGCCATAACTCTGCTAAGCATTTTGTGTGCATTATTTCTCTAAGACGTGAGATAAACAATAGTATTCTATTCTCTAAAAAGGAGAAACCTGGGGTCATAGTGATAGTGCAGCAGGTAGGATGTTTGCTTTGCATATGGCGTAGCAGGTTTCCATTCCCTGTATCCCATATGGTCCCCACATTCCATATGGTCCAGCAAGCCTGCCATGAATAGTCACTGAGCACAGAGCCTGGAGTAATCCCTGAGTACCTCTGGGTGTACCCAAAAACAAAAGACAAACAAACAAATAAACAAAAATAAAACAAAATTTTGAAAAAATATTAAAAGGAGGAACCTAAATCTAGAAAAAGTTACTTTGCCCAAAGCTCTGCGAAATTGAAACCAGGATCTTTGTGGCAGAGCAACTGTCCTTTCATCTAAACTACAAATCTCTTTCAGGGCACTGGTGGTTCTGGAAGGAAAGTCCGCTCATCAGATCAACAAGTACATTTTTATCAAAAGTAAGGTCCTCATATCTGCAATTTGTATAAAATAAAGATCCCCAGGAACACTCCTCTCTTTGACTTTCTGAACCAGTCTCTCTAGGACTGAGAGCCAAGACACAAAAATTTGAGATCTACTGTTCAGTGTCTTTCTTAGGTACCAAAAACATTATATATACACACACACATGCACGTGCACACACACATATAGTATAATCATAAATATATATATTTGTACATATATTTATATTTTACTACAATATATAAATATGTTTAGATACATATATAAATATATATATTACAATAAGGTTAACACTTATGGCTTGCTGTACACCATGACCTCACCTCACCATCACTAAAGTTCCCAAGACCCTTGACTAATATCCATCTCATCTACGTCAGAGGGGAAGGGGACTGAGAGCTGGTGATCTCACTCATGTGTAGTTTTCTGAACAATAAGACAAGGAAATGCAACATAATAAGTAATACCAAAAGCATTCTTTACAAAGTTTTCTTGGAGAAAATGCCCTGACCCCTGGTGGTCTACCACTTAAGTGTGACTGCACCAAGATGGATCTTTGAGGGAATTTTATGCGATGTGCTCACAGCTCACCTTTTGACTGATGGAACTAAATTTGATTAAGATTCAGCTGCTTCTGCCTGAGCATGAATGACCTCATTCAGGCCTCTGCTCCAGAAATCCTGTTTCACACATAGAGCAATGAGTGTGCCAACATGTCTTTGTAGCAGCTATGAAAACGGATGCCTATTTCAATCTCTTAAAGGTTTGTAGATCATCTATGCTTTGCAGCTGATACAGAGCTTAAAGTACAGAGATTTTGTCCTTAGAAAGGCTGTTGTGCACATGGATAAGTAATTTATCAATTTCTCTCATTAAATATATACACAATAAATTTCCATAAACTCTTCTACCCTGCCTTGATCATTAGAATATTACATCTGGAGTCTCATGCTTGGCTAATTTAAATTCTCATCAGCTTCTGGATTTTTTTCTCTTAATATAAATCTTCAGCATTCTAAACCAATCTCATCTCTTTTCCTTTCACTGTGCAAAGACATCACACTCCTGTATTTATTGAATCTTTAGCCCCTTACCGCACAGATTGTCCAATTGTTAGGAACACTGTGTTTCCCTGATTAGAAGATATCACATCCACTCATCATTTGTCTTTAACCAGAATAACCATCCCAAAAGAAAAGGATAAGATGTCAAGTAGAAATCCTTAATACTTGGGGAGTAGCAACAAATAAAATTCGACAGTTTACTCATTTGGCAACAGAAAAAGAATAAGAATAAATAATAAGAGTATTTTATTTTTCTAAATAATTAATACTTCTTTAAAACCTGTTTACCTCTTCCTTCTACCATAGTAAAGCCAAGAAAACATAATGAGAATCAACCTGAGTGTTTCACACTCAAACTTACCATAGAAGTTCTGTTGGAAAATAACTGGCAGTGATTCTTCCTATTCTCCACACCAGAGAGTATATAAGGTTTCATCTGTCCAGCCCTAAGGAAATTTACAGCCCCCTGCAAAGCAAAAGGCCACTAACATTCTTAATAGGAAATTCAATTGCATCCTAAATTATACCCACCCCCTGGGCATTTTCTAGGGATCTCCAATTCAGGATATGAACCAACTAGTGTTAAATACCTCACATAGAAAAATAAAAAATAAAAAATAAAACAGCAAACATGCAGCAATGTCTACATTATTCTCAAGTCCTATGCAAATGGAAAACACATGTTCTTCATTCTCTAATGAGTCCAGTGGAGAAAAAAACATTCCTTATGTGGAATCGAAGAAAGAAAGAAAGAAAGAAAGAAAGAAAGAAAGAAAGAAAGAAAGAAAGAAAGAAAGAGAGAGGAAGGGAGGGAAGGAGGAAGGGAGGGAGGGAGGGAGGGAGGAAGGAAGGAAGGAAGGAAGGAAGGAAGGAAGGAAGGAAGGAAGGAAGGAAGGAAGGAAAAAAGAAAGAAAGGGAGAACGAGAAGGAAGGAAGGAAGGAAGGAAGGAAGGAAGGAAGGAAGGAAGGAAGGAAGGAAGGAAGGAAGGAAGGAGAAAGGAAGGAGGGAGGGAGGCAGGGAGGGAAGGAGGGGAGGGAGGGAGGGAGGAAGGAAGGAAGGAAGGAAGGAAGGAAGGAAGGAAGGAAGGAAGGAAGGAAGGAAGAGAGGGAGGGAGGGAGGAAGGAAGGAAGGAAGGAAGGAAGGAAGGAAGGAAGGAAGGAAGGAAGGAAGGAAGGAAGGAAGGAAAACACTCAATGTAATAGTTCTATGGGGGAACTTGGGTAAAGAGTAGAGAATAGTGGGTCCTACTTTATCTAGAGTGATCAGGGTAGAACGTTTGAGAAACAATGAGCAAATAACTAAAAAGGGAAGAAGCACAGGTCTATGTGGATATCTGTGAAGGAGAGATCTATGTGAATATCTATGACATGAGAATTTGAGGCAGGAGAAATATTAAGTACAAAAGCAAGCCAGTGAGAATAACACGTGGCTAGAAAACAGTAAACTAATGGGGCAGGAATAAGATGAGATCGATAAGGTCTTACAGGACTAGATCATGTAAGGACATTGAAATGGTCTTGGTTTTACCCTGAGATGAGAAGCCCCTGGAGAGTTTTCAATAGAAGTGTAATAGTTTTCTGACTTATCTGGTGAAGTGGCCTTCTGACTTATCTGGTAAAAATGCAATGAGTACATTAAATACAAAACTGCATACATGACTGTAGAAATCTACTCCACCCATATCTTATACTCAGAATCCTGCTGGAAATTCACGCTAGCTTACGGAAGATTCAGCCTACCACCACAAGCTTCAAACATTAAAATGTGAGATCTCAGCACACCTGCCATAGCAGAAAATGTCCCAGGGTCTGCCAGACATCTGTTCATTCCCAGCACCAGCCCGAGACTACTGTCTGCTCCGTCTTGTATTGTCCCACCAGAGACATAACTTCATCTATTCTGCTCTCTGGTGATACTTTACTATCATAAATAATGTCAATAAAGGCTTTAATGAATGAAATCACCATGTGTCAGTGTGTTTGACACTAGAAGTTCATAGACAAATAATAAAGAAATCACTGCTCAGTAGAATCAAACAAGGAAATAAAGAATTTTCAGGCAACGTGTCCAGTATAGGGATTAAGTTGAGCTATGATTTTTAAAAAGAGCAAGCCGGGGTCCAAAGCAATAGCACAGCTGGTGGGTCATTTGCCTTGCACACAGTTGACCAAGGCTTAATCCCTGTCACCTTATATGGTCATCCGAGTGACACAGAGTGATCTTTGAGCACAGAGCCAGGAGTAAGTCTTGAGAACCCTCTATTATGACCAAAATTAACCAAAATAAGTAAATAAAATGAGCAAATATAACAATGAAAACTTAAGTAATTAATACAGAAGGTGAGGGTGCAGCTCCTGGTTGCAAAAGTTGTGCATGTTTTACACGCACAGATAAGAAATACATTGTATATGGATTTTATGAACAAAGAACTATAGAAAATATTAAGTAAAATGATAACATAAACATGAAGTAAAGAGGAATTGTAGCTATTTCCATATGAATGGAAGATAGAGTATATATGAGGCAGTGGGAAAAAATAAAAAAATACACTGGGGCAGGGATGGACTCTTATCATGAGAAATGCATCTTGAATAAAGTCCAGAGAGACTGAACTTTGTACCATGGAGATTGTAAACCAGTCAAATCAGGATTCTTAATAGAAATTCATGGATGAATTGTAAAATATATGTGAAACTTCTGAAACAGAACTTTTCAGAGAAAAGGGAATAGTCTTTATAATATTCCTTTAAAGACTCTGATTCAAAACTAAGTTATAAACACTGATAAAGGACATTGTTGAGAAAACAAAAATGCTGCACATTTGATTTTCTAGAGATTTTCAGCTTTCAAAGTTTCAAATGATATATACCAATTTTCTTGGTTCCCTTCTCTTTTAGATTAATAATGAGTATAATTTAATTGGTAGGAAGTCTTTCCTTTCAAAAATTGTATTAATTTTTAAATTTTATTTATTTAATTTGTGGGGATGTTGGGACCACACCCAACAGGTTTTGGGGACGACTGATAGCTCTGAGCTCTGACAGGTCTGAGAATCAAACTAAACAGGGTCAACTACATGTGGGCTGACCATATGCATGCAAGGCAAGTACCCTGGACTATCTCGCCAACATTTTTTCCACAGAAATTTAAAGCCAAGTTTAAGACTTAGTTAATGTCATTCTGTTCAATTTATACTAGACCTGTCTGATCTTTTTTCTAATCAAAACAAACTAGCACTTTAACAGTAAAGCACTTTTGTTTTTGCCCACAAAACATTTATTTACAGTCCTAAAAACAATTTATACATAGAGAAAATTTACCACAACAAAAAATATATAAATACATAGCATGGAAAACTTCCTCACACAGCAGCAAATTTATGGTTTGGATTAGGGAACAAATCACTTCAAAGTTGAAAAATAGAACCTGTTCCTGCCTTGAAGGCAAGATCTGCCCCCGATAAGTCAGTCCAGTTATTCTGCACTTGTAACTGGCTTTCTCCAAATTACTTTGAGATATTTATCATGTGCGATCAGTTGAAAGATAATATATTGTAATCTCAAAAGGAAAACACTTTTTGTTTGTTTGTGTTTGGGCTAAACGCAGTGCTCAGGGCTTACTCCTGGCTCTGAGTTCAGGGATCACTCCTAATTGAGTTTGGGGACCTTATGGGTCCCGAGTATTGAACTCGGGTTGGCCTTGTACAAGGGTAGCACCCTTTCAACTATACTATTTCCCCAGCCCCCAAAAACATATTTTTGTATTTTTTCTTAACAGATAATAAAACAGCTTTTGTTTCCTGTATCACATTTGAACTATTTAATTGTTGAATTCCTAAAAATCAAGGCAGTTTTATATAGTTTAAAATACATTGTAGCCTATGATTTTCTCTGTGGCACAGAACTCCATTAGTTGTTATAATTAAGAAGCCAAAACCAAAAGTGAGGAAAGTTGTCATAATAACAAACGCTTACTGGAATTAAGGGACCCTGGCATGTCTTCTGCATTCCTTTCAATAAAAAAACACATTTTGCCAGTTACTTGTCAGGGCTTTGTATCATAACATTTGTATAAAATCATATTTTAGATACTGGTTGCTTTTTGGCACATACACTCGATCACCTTGATGACACCTCCACGTCTCTTTGAGATCTCCTTAGATGTGTGCTCACAGATAAACCTCTCTGACCCTCTAGCTTCTTCATGACTGACCAAGAACCCACCTTCTAAACACAGTGGCTCTCTGAGAGACACTAGAATCAAACCAAATTCCATTTTCCAGAAATTCTGTAAAGGGCTAAAGAAATTCTTTGGCATTTACCTCTCCTGTTGGGCTGGAGATGGCTGGAAGGAGGCTGGAGCAATGTGTCTGCCTTCGGGAGATCCTGTCCCTGCACTGAGCTGGGGGAGGGCAAAGCTCAGGCCACTGGAGGAAGAGAAGGAGGAGTGGTTCATGTGCCACTGCAAACAAGATCCCGTGCCAACAAAAACACCATTCTTTTTCCCAAGAAGTTCAAAGTGCTTTGCAAACATTAACTCATGAGCCCAAGTAGTCTTGGAGCAGTTACTTTACTAATAAAGTAAAGGCTTAATAAAAAGCCTTCAACATCACAACTATAACGCAAAGTCAGAAGGAAAGGGAGTCTAGTCACTGTTTCATTATTGCTCAGGATATTTTCTGGGCACCTACTCTGCTGGAATCTGGTAGAAGAGCATACAAGACATAGTAGTTTGTATTCTAACAGACTCTCATTCTATCCTTGTTTTTAGAGCACTAAGCTCCTGGCTACGTTACTTATCACATTTTATTTACACTTTATTTTGCCCAAATTCTTTAATGGAATGTGCTCCACTCTTTAGAACATTTATAATGTATTAAGTGCTGAGTGAACACACACGAACATAAATTTAAATTACCTGTCAATCTCACTATGATGGTAGGAATTGGGGACCATCACTTCGAAGAGGCTTTCTTTTAAGAAGCCATAAACATAGCTTCATTGTGAGCAATTATGTCACTTACAACATTGAATAATAACAATAGGTGTGTAAGGAGAGTTAAGGTCAGTAATCATGCCAAGCATCTTATATAAGTTACATGCTTTTTAAAAAATTAGTCAGAAAGCAAATATATTTGGTGACACAGGGAAGCTTTATCAGAAATATTTTCTGAATGTTTATGTGACAAATAGGTGTTCAAATATAGAAAGTGACTGAGGCCTTTTTAAATCCTTCTCCTTCTGCTATAGGCTCTTTAAATGTACAAGTAGTAACTCTTACAGTAATAATGATTTTTTGTTTGTATGTTTTAAGGCCACATTCCATGGCGGTAGGAGACCCTGAGATGTGAAGGACTCTCAACATGAGCCTCTGTCATACAAAGCATATACTTCGACCTATTAAGCTATCTCTCCGGCCCAAGTACATAAGTATTTTATAAGTTTTATAGAATACTTTATTTTATTCTTCATAGAGGTAAAGGTAAAGGTAAGGGCCCTCCCATTGATCGTCGATTTGCTCGAGCGGGCCCAGTAACGTCCCCATTGGAGACTTTGTTGTTACTGTGTCTGGCATATCGAAGTTGTTTTAAATTAATTTTTAATATTCAGGCACTGGGATTTATAACAGTTTGGTACGAAAGTTTTAGGGATACAATATCACTGCTCCACATATGTCACCAGAGTATCAATCTGCATCCACCACTGTCTCTAGGTACCTTGTCATTTCCACCACCCGACACATACCACAAACTCAGGTCTCACACAGATTCTCAGAGATTCTTAGCCTCAGTTGCTGCTTATTTCCTTGCCCTGCTTCTCTCTACTCACATATGAAATGAAATCATTACAGAAATAGTTTTTACTGTGACAGTAATTTGTCTTTTTTTATATTCAGGGTTTCTTTATCCACAAACTGCCTTAAACATTTTATAGATTGTTAAACCTCAAAATTTTTATCATAATTGAGTAATATTGTTACAATATGTTAACATTTCTGCATTGGGTCTACAAAGTTACTGCCCTTTCAGTCTCTTAAAGAGCTGAACATCCTCCACAACTGCCCCATGTCTCTTCTAGTCCACATAGATATTTTAGAATAGATGATTGTTTAAGAATACCTGGACTAAAGAGACCGGTCCCTGTTTTGTTTTGTTTTGTTTTTTATTGTTGAATTACTCTGAGGTACAGGTAAAGTAAAGTAAGTAAAGGCCCTCCCGTTGATCATCGATTTGCTCGAGCGGGCCTAGTAACGTCTCCATTGGAGACTTTGTTGTTACTGTGTTTGGCATATTGAATAGTCACAGGGAGCTTGCCAGGCCCTGCCGCGCGGGCGAGATACTCTCGGTAGCTTGCCGGGCTCTCCGAGAGGGGCGGAGGAATCGAACTCGGGTCGGCCATGTTGGCTGCGTGCAAGGCAAACGCCCTACCGCTGTGCTATCACTCCAGCCTGTAAAAATCAAACAGACTTGCAAACTTCCGTGCTTGCATTTCAATCATACAGTGATCGAGTACCCATCCCTCCACCAGTGCCCATTTTCCACCACCAATGGTTCCAGCATCCCTCCCACCACCCCCGCCTCATCCACTTCACCCCACCCCGCCTCTGTGACAGGACATTCTCTTTTGGTTGTTGTGGTTTGCAATAGAGTTATTAAGTGGCCATCATGTCCAGTCTATAGTCTACTTTCAGCCTGCATCTCTCAACCCAAGTGGGCCCTCCTAGCACTCTTTATTTGATGGTCCCTTCTCTATCTCAGATGCCTTTTCCCCCAGTATGTGAGGCCAGCTTCTAAGCTGTGGAGTAATCTTCCTGGTACTTATTCCTACTATTATTGGGTATTAGTCTCCCATCCTGTTACTTTATATTCCACAAATGAGTGTGATCGTTCTATGTCTGTCCCTCTCTTTCTGACTCATTTCACTTAACATGACACTTTCCATGTTGATCCACCTATAAAAAATGCATGATCTTTTGATGTTCAACAAAGAATTCAAATGATTTTATTTTGAAGATTAAAGTAAGAATTCTAATTTTTATGATTCATTAACTCAATCCAGGTCGGACTGAACATTAGACTGTCTAAGTTCTTGCTCATAGGCTTACAAGTTTTTTTACTTTTTGGGTCACAACCTGCGATATACAGGGGTTACTCCTGGCTCTGCACTCAGGAATTACTTCTGGCGGTGCTCAGGGGACCATATGGGTGGCTGGGAATCGAACCCGGGTCTGCCGCATGCAAGGCAAACACCCTATTCACTGTGCTATCATCTCCAACTCCACTTACTCATGTTTTTTAAAGTCTTAGGAAATTGCACCACCTAAAACATTTCTCTCCCAAGCAGTATTCTGACTAAATTAAAGCATAATAGAGGTATGATATTGATCCATCACGCAAGTGTATTGGATTAAACACACACCAACAGACATTCAAACTCTGTCTCTGAGTAGTTGGTAAGTACCCAGTTGGTCTCCAAATTAACTTTCTGAACTTGAACTCGTACTCCCTATTTTTCCAGACCCAACAAAGACTTTTATATTACTGCATCATATTTATTGGGGATCTTCCACCTTGAAATTAATTACCCTACCCACTCTAATAAACATATACAAACAAAGCACAAACATTCACATAAGTGCATACTTTGTTTACTTGAAAGCTCTTCATGATTAGTTTACACTTTCTGGTTAATTTCCCATTAATTTCTATATCACTAGTGTATATTCAAAAAATGAATGTGAAGCCCACTGCTCTCTCTCAATGCCTGCATTCGGTGGCCTCGGGACCCTTCCCCCACCCTGGGATGGCTGATGCAACTGGAGGATGAAAGAGGAAACAAGTTGCCGGTTGGTTGGTCTCAATTGCAGTTGATTCCCATCTCATCTTCATTCTCTCCTGATTCTCCATCCCTCTCCTCCTGGTCCTGCTCTTCTCTCTTCTTCCCAATCATCCTCCATCCCCTTGATCCTCCCTTGCCCACTCTTACAGCCTTAGTTATCTCTCCAATCATGACGGAATTGGGGTAGCAATTACACATAGATGTCATCATACAGTAAACAGATGTAATGTCCCTCCCTCAGGGGAAGTTTCATTCAGGACAAACTCTCACTCAGCAAGAAGACCCACCTAAGGGCAAAATACCATCTATAGGTGTATTTCTCCTTTCCTTAGTTTAACAACCTTTTAAACATTCATCTTAATTCTATTTCTTAATAATATTAGTCATTTTGTATGAACACAGCAAGAGATACATTAAGCTTATAGGATGGCTCTCCTGGGGGCATCTCACTATGGATCTCAGACTACACTGCTCAGGTCAGATTAGTCTTTCCTAACCCTAGCAGGGTCCTAATCCAGTTGATACTTTTTGGATCATGACAAAATTTGTTCATGACTATGCTCTTAACTTACAGGTAAGTATTATGGCACTTGGCCTGACCCATTTCGATGCCAGGGTAGCTCACAGCTTGCCCTATGTCCATTCAGTCCCTCGTTGGGACCCTGCTTTTGGGGTGCTAGGAACTAAGGGCAACTTAGGCTTAAGTCAAGAAAACAGATGCCCAGGAGTGAATATTATTTGGAGTCAATTAACTCCCAAGTTACAAGAGCATAGCATTAACTGTCTTCCTATGTCTACACAAAAAGAACATTGCTCTGAAGTAACAATGCAAAAGATATAAGGAGAAGATAAAAGCAATATTACACTTTACAAGACACAGGTACTGCTTAGTGGAAAATGGTGATAGACTGGTTGTGGAAGCATAGCATGGAGAAAGAGTTTACAGATAATCAGAGAGGAATGGCAGTGCCTCAGGAGCACTGATAAACCTAAGCTCCCTGTGGCAAGGGAAACAGGACATACCAATTTTATCCTACAGCAGGTTTATCACATAATTATTTATATAAATATCTAACAAAAGTATTAATATCTTATGTTTATCAATTGTGTCATACGCCTTTATATTTTTAGTAACTAGTACTTTAAATTTTTACCAATTAGTATATCTCTTCTGGAGGTTAGCAAGGTGATCAATAATATTTGGGTTAACTCTTCAGCTGAAAGTATTAATTAAATGTTTAAAAGTAGACAAGATATGGAAGCAGGCAAAATAATATTACATTGGAGAAACCCAGCAACAATAATTATTAAGGTCATTGTCAACAGCCATAAATCCCATAAATCATATTGATCACATCTATTCTAGTTGTGGTGTGATGAAAATTGTAATTTACCTTTGTGGTCTTCCCTCTAATAACCCATAATCCCAGTCTAATTGTGAGAAAACTATGGGTCATAAAATCAGCGCCAAGAAACAATAACAAAAAAATGCAGTTAATAACCTTCATTAAGCAAAACTGCTAATGACGAAAATAGAATCA